TGGGAAGGCAGTTGCAACCCAGAGAGATTACCTCCCTCCTCAATGCAGTAAAAGGTGCTGACAGACAGCTTACCTCTAATGAAGTGGAAACTGTTACCATGGCAGCAGAATCTGCAGAAAGGCCACTGACCACTGGAGAAACAACAAGCCTTCTCCAAGCATCTAAAGCAGCAGGCAGAACCTTGAAACCAGAGGAAACAACTGCAGTTATTGATGCCACCAAGGCTTTAGAAAGACCTGTAACAGATGCTGAGGCAAAGTCTCTTCTGGCTGCCATAGGAAAGGCAGGAAGGCCTCTAACGTACGGTGAAGCCGTCTCAATTGCATCAGCATCCAAAGTGACTGGTCGTGCGGTAACACCAGAAGAATCAGTAGCAATCCTTGCAGCTACAAAAGCTGCAGGCAAACCTCTGTCACCAAGTGAGGCATCATCTATTGTTCAAGCAACTAACACTGCTGGTCGGCCTCTGACACCAGATGAAACATCCAGTGTTCTCCGAGGTGCAGAGGCAGTAGGAAGGTCAGTATCCCCTGATGAAGCCCAGACCATTCTGGAGGCAACAAAAGCCACAGCTGGTCCACTGTCAAGGGAAGAGGCTGCCTCACTTGTTGAAGCCAGCAAAGCTGCAGAAAGGCCGCTTACAGCAGACGAAACATCTACTGTTCTTAGAGCTGCTAATACAATGGGTCGACCACTCCGTCCAACTGAAGTAAAGGCTCTCCTTGAAGCTGGCAAAACAATAGGAAGACCTCTTAGTCCAGAGGAGACGTCAGCTATTCTTGATGCCACCAAAGGAGTTGGGAGGTCTTTAACGGCAGAGGATGTAGCTGCCATCATGGCTGCTACCAAGGAAGTAGGACGAGCACTGACACCAGATGAATCTGCATCTCTCCTTACAGCAGCAGGTATCGCTGAACGGAAGCTGACTCCTGTAGAAACTGTTGCAATAATGAATGTGGCCAGAGCAGCAGGGAGGCCACTTACCCATGAAGAAGCAAGTGCACTGATGGAAGCCATCAAGGCAGCAGGAATGCCTCTTCAGCCAGATGAAATAGCAGCTGTGTTACAGGCGGCTAAAGCTGCTGGAAGACCACTTACACCAAATGATACATCCAGTGTAGTGGAGGCAGCTAAGGCCGTTGGAAGACCGCTTACAGCTGTAGAAATACTGTCCATCTTTGCAGCAACCAAGGTTGCAGGGAAAGCCCTCTCACCACATGAAGCTGGTGGTATTCTTGCAGCTGCAAGGGTCACTGGAAAGCCGCTGACTACTGAAGAGGCGCAGTGTATTTTAAATGCTGCAAAAGCAGTGGTCACCAGAGCTCTTACACTTGATGATGCCATCTCTTTGCTGGCAGCTGAAAGGGTAACAAAAAGGCCCCTGACTCCAGATGAAGCTATAACTGTTGCTGAAGCAGCTGACTTGGCCTCCAGACCATTGAGGCCAGAGGAACTCAGAGCAATTCTTGACACTATAAAATCTCGCAGGAGAGCTTTGAAAACAGGAGAGATCAGATCAATTCTGGATGCAATAAACACAGCTGGGAGACCTTTGACACCGTCTGAACTTGCCAGCGTCTTAGAGCCTATGTCAGTTGAGGAGAGTGGTGGTCTTCTCGAGGCAGCCATGGTGGCTGATCGCCCTCTAACACTTGATGAGAAAACTGCAGTCATTGATGCAACCCAAGCTGCAGGCAGACCTCTAAAACCCCAGTGAGGCTGCATCCATTCTAGAGGCAGTGAAGGTGAAAGGAGGTCAGTTAGACCCAGAGGAAACAGCTGCAGTTGTAGAAGCTGCAAAAGCATCAGGAAAGCGACTGACTTCTGCAGACATAATGTCAGTCATCGATGCTGCTGTATTCAACAAGAAACCCCTCACTCCAGAACAAGCTGTTACTATTGTCAATGGAACAGAAGCTGTGGAGAGAAAACTCAAAAGCAGATGAAATGACAGCGTTACTTGATGCTGTTAAGACCTCAAATTGTTCACTGTCACCTGAAGAAGCAGCAGCAATTCTGGAAGGAACAAAAATTGTTGAAAGACCGCTTACTCCTGAGGAAGCTTTGAGTCTGATAGAAGTTGCAAAAGCTGTTGAAAGGAAGCCAAGTCCAAGTGAGATCTCCTCTGCTGTTGAAGCAACTAAAATTGTGCAAAGAAAACTCTCACCCAATGAAGCTACAAGCCTCATTGAAGGTACTAAGTCAGTTCAAAGACCTCTGACATCCACTGAATTACAGTCTGTTGTGAAGGCAACAAAGGATTTGGGGAAAGCTCTCACACCAAATACTGCTGCCAGCATTCTGGTAGCCACCAAGGCTGTGGAAAGACCACTAACTGCTAAAGAAATTGAAACTGTGGTGGTAGCAACTAAAGAAGCTCAACGACCCATACAGTCAGATGAGGCACTCAGTCTCACAGAAACTGTAAAATCAACAGAAAGATCATTGATATCAGATGAAGCAGCAGCTATTCTTCAGTCAACTGGTCTTGCTGGGCAGCCATTGACAGGTTTGGAGGGCGATGCCATTGTCAAGGCAGTAGAGCTGACAGGAAGGGATTTGAGTGCAGAGGAAATTGCCGCTCTTCGAGAGGCTGACAAAAACAATAGGCAGGCCAATGACTATGGATGATGTAACTGCCATACTTGAGGCCAGAAAAATCAAAGGAAAGCCACTAGATCTGGTTGAAATTGCTGCTCTCTTTGAAGCAACAAAAGCAGCAGAAAGAGCACTTTCAACTGAAGAGGTTTCCAGAGTTCTGGAAGACCCAGAATCTGTGGAAGAAATTCGAACAGCAGCTTTAGCAGAGCAGGTAGCAAAGTTGAAGGAGCAGGTGACATTGCTTGGTGAACAGGTGAGCTCAGCTGAGGAAGTACGCTTCTCCTCATTTGAAGATGAGCCTGAGGATAAACCCAAACTAGCAACATTAGAAGAGAAGGCAGCCGAGGTAGAGGAAGAGGAAATGAAAGACAAGGCTGAAGCAGAAGCAAGAGAGGAAGAAGAAGGAAGTTCTGAAGAAGTGTTTGTGGATGTTGAAGAGGAGATTGAAGAAGTTAGCCAGTTCATGGCTCCACAAGCACCTGCTCCAACACCTGAGCAGGAAGAGCCTGTAACAGCTGGATCAGTCTCAGACTCGGACCAGGTGGAACACCTGGCAGAGATTCTCAAGACAAAACCACCGTTTGAGTTTGAGCAGCCGGCAATGGGAGATCAGGAAATGCTGGCTTTGATGGCCGAGGAAGTTGTCATGGACCAGTTGTCTCCTATCGAAGAGGAGACAGAACCGGGTTCGTCCTCCTCTGAGACAGAAGACGCACCCAGGAAAAGTCGGTCATCGCAGGCCCTCATGACTCCCATTGAAGAGGAGACTGATTCAGTCTTATCCGACTCAGAGGCAAAGCCGGTTGAAATGCAGAAAACGGCAGTTGAAGCCTATCTGAAATCACTCCCTTCACAGATGCCAATCATTGAAGAAAGCACTGCAGAGTCATCAGCTGCAGAGGAATTAGTAGAACCTTCTCAAAAGGAAACGTTACCAAAGGCAACAGTCTCTGAGATCATAGAGCCTGCACCAATTTTCTTTTCCTCTGTCAAGTCTCCCTTCCGTTCGAAGGCTCCGATGGTGTTTGAGGCACGCCTGCCGCTTACCTCTGATTCTGAGTCAGAAACAGAGCCGTTCGGCACACCACCAAAACAGCAGTACTTCCAGCCTAAAAGGCAGCCTAGCGGGCCTGTACGACTAACATCCACCGGCAGGTCACCTGAGGAAATCCGGAAACCCATAGCTCAGAAAGTCTCAGCTGTACCAGGCACAACTCCTGTAGCTCCCAAACCAAATGGCAGTAGTGTTGAAATAGGGAAAACATCCCCTTTGATGAAGAAGTACCCAACACAACAAAGGTTTGATGTGGAAGAAGATGCACCTCAGTATGCAGAACAGAAAGAGGAAATCCCTCTGTATGCACCAGAAGTAGTTCCAAAGCCTGTTTCCAGAGCTCCTCCCCCAGTTTTAACAGCACCTGTACAATCTGTGATTGCCCCACCCATCGTAAGGCCACCATCACCACCTGTAACTTACCAATCAGCTATACACGAGGCCCCACCGCTCCGACTGTCTCGCCCTGTGAGGGTCAAACCTATACCACCTGTCCTCACCATAGAACCATCCCCAGAGATGCCACGTAAACAATTTGCTGAAGAAACGTCACCAGTTTTCCAAAGAACGCCTACTCCACCTGAGCCCTCTCCGGTTAAAATGGCTCCATTTCCAGCCTATCAACAGAAAGTATCACCAGTGTACACACCACCCAGGGTGGAGGGTAGACAACAAAAGGTATCAACTCCTCCAAGTTTGCCAACTAGTCCGTACTTGAAGACACCTCCACCTGTACCACCAAAACCAAAGAGGCCAAAGTCATGGGCAGGGTTGAGCCCTGTTAGCCCACTACAAATGAAGTCTCCCACACCTTCTGAAGACACCGAGGTGAAGCAAATTCTGCTCTCTCCTACCGAGGCTAAGGGTAAAGGCATACCAACAGAGGAGGATGTCCGTATGTACATCAGTCCTCTTCCACCCTTGGAGGTCGGTGAAGAGGAGGCAGACAAGCACGTGCAGAGGACGTATGACGAGGATGAGACTGGCAGTCTGACGTACCTGGAAACCGTGACTGTCACGTCTCCACCGCCCCAGCAACCCAGCCCGATGCTGCAGGAGAAAAGTCCAACGTTTGTGGAAAGGGAGTACAGCGAAGACGAGACTGGAACTCTGACATTCGCAGAATCAATCTCAATACCATCTGTGGAAGTGACTTCTGAGTCAGAGCTGGAGGCAGATTTCAGGGAAGAGGATGAGATGGGATATGTGGAGCGTGATTACGATGTAGATAAGTCAGGGAATCTTAGATACACCGAGGCAATACGGTCTCCCTCTCCGCGCCTGTCACGGCCACAGAGTATGACTGAGTCGGAGTTGGAGTATGAAGCTGAGGAGGTGACCCAACTCCCACACCAACAGCCACGTCACCCGTCTTCTTCGGTACAGATGTAACAGGAGCGGCAAAGTCACCCACCACACCTAGTCAGCTGAAAACACCTCCTGTAGTCCCACCCAAAACCTGGAAGGAGTTAGGCCTGCCAACTCCCTGGCCTGAGGGTTTCCAACCTTCCAAAACTCCATCTCCTCAACCACCTACACACAAAGGGACAGGGACAGCTTCAGGGCCCCCAGAACCCCCTGTCAGATCCTCATCCAAAAAGCCAATTCCTTCCCCACGGTCATCATTACAAGCCCCAAAACCCCTCCCAGAGCGAAAAAGACGTGATTTCTGGCGAGGTGTATAGAATGAAATTATTTTTGTAGGTAACAAAGGGGAGGGAGAATCTGACGGCTAACACTGTGGTAGGAAGGGGTGACTTTGCTGTTCTAATCCATGAAGTATATTCAGTACCTTAATTACTTGTATATGATCAACAAGTCTGCTGTACAGCAAAAGCATTATTACTTTGTAAAAAATCTTTCTCAATCTGGCATTAAGAAACTAAAGCTGTCATATGGTAACCACTGCCTCGTAGTGAGAGTGAGTTAAAGTTGCAAAATATTTAAAAGAACACAACATTATCATTTCTGAATATAAGTTATTCTATTGTATCTTTGTAAGTCCAAAGAAAAGCGAGCAAGATTTTGCTGCATAAACTTAAAATATTGTAATAGTGGCAGTAAGGCATTTTTCTGCATTGAGCAAAAATCATATTCTTAAAATGCTTCTCAGGGCAGAGGCTTGTATTTTCAAAAGCTCAATGATAGCATTTGATTTTGCAGACTGCATGTAATGATAGAATAAGCAGATGCAACATATTTTACTCAAGTGGCATGTGTCATCAGTGACATTAGAGTCATCGCATTCACTCCCAAAAGCACAGGGTGAATCGTTCTTAGCAGATTCTTGTACCTTCAATAGTACCTCTCTAGTGTACTCTCTAGGGCTGTTCCAATGGAGGCATGGAACACTGTCCCTAGATTAGTATGATATCTGCAGCAATACTTTCAATTGGGACATGTCCCATCCAAAAACAACAAAAAAATTGAATTTTAAAAAATCACCGTAAATAAGATGCATGTCACTTTTCTAGTGTAGTCCTATTGAAGGTCCAATATTAACTGCACTTCCCCATCCAATGTAGTTGAGAGTTGACACTAAAAGTGTTCTGTGGTCAAGTACTGCCTGGGTTTTCATTGTTATTTTCTTAGATGTGTGACATGAAGATGTAGTCTTGCCATTTGTGTTGTATTTTACTTCTGAGGAACCAAACTTGACTGCCACGTTGGCCCCATGTCAGGCATTGTTTCCAGTGGTTAGGGTTAGGTCAGGTGATGATAGGAAAGGGACTAGAGATAGTGTCAGGAACGGGTCTCTATTTCAAATGTACTGTACTGTATGATGTTTTGTGGGGCCAACGCGGCAGCCAGAAAGGTTTGGTTTAACAGCAGTGAGGACAATAATATTGTGGTATTGACGTGTCCTTGTGCTTACTTGTCTTTAAAAAATAAGTAGATCACAGGCAATGCTTCCTCTCAGAATCAAAAATAAATTGCCAGGAAAAGTTATTTTTTTGGATACAGTGTGTCATCCACTACACATATCCATAGTTTGGGGAAGTGCAGTGGGGTGTTGAGTAGATCACATCACCACCCCCCTCCCCCTTCATCCCTTTTAGTCTATGTTTCCTACCCTACATTTCAGCTGTTTGTCTTGTACAATAAAAGAACTAGTTCTTGTCCAACCAACGGTGTCATGTCCATTTTGCCGCATAACTTACTCTCATGTTGTACATTCAATCAAACTGTACATTTAACACAAACTGTACATTCAACACACAGTAAGGTTCTGGTTAGATTTGCATAGCAATACTTTCAACTTGTCAAAATCTGTTTAATCTTCACCACATCATATACAGTGTACCTCAATTCACATTTTAGAAGTCGATTTGTCTAATTCACAATTATACGTGTAGGTTTCAGTTTCATGACATTTTTGTAATGTTTGCCAACTTCACATTAGGTCTGTACCACAACTAGATACTGTACATGTAGTCATTTTTAGGTAGAGAAACACAGTGGTCAGAATAGCGACTTGCGACTACTGACAGCGACTTGTTTACTCTGCTTGCGATATTGTGGAGAAGAACAACTGTAGGTGACATTCAAACTACTTTCTCTAACCCCTATCAAAGGACTGAAAATACACTTTACACTTGATTTTGACCTTGGGTGGTAAGAAACACTTGGGGTATAGGAGTTTAGATAGATGAAGGTTCCTCCAGTCTTCCATATGTCCACTGTGCTGCTGCAAGCTACATTGTACCACATCTGTCACTTTCCAGGTCAGCTTTCTGTCACCAACTTTTCTTTACTCTCTTTCTCACTTTCCATTCTCATCCTTGCCTTAACACTTCTGGTGCTTTGATATCATTGAACAATGTCCATTCATACTTTGCTTGAGACATGTTGATATAAACTTTCTTGTTGACAGATGACCATCTACAAAAGGTTTGCAAACGTGGTGCTGACTTTACCGCTGTACTTTCACAGGGTCATTGTGACTAAGACCACGCGGACCGTTGTTGCGGAGGATGGGGAAGAAATCGTCACCACGGAGACGACCACTTCTGGTCCCGAGGGAGACGAAGAACACGACGAGCTGCGGCAAAATCTGAGGGAGATCGTGGAAAGCATGGATGAACACGAGAGGGTCATCCATGGCGAGGAAGACGCAGAGGGAGAGCACCACAGCTAGAGAGCCTTGCTCACGCATTGAAGTGTGTAAAGAGGAGTTATAATAACAAACATTGGATTCTCATATAACAAGAGGATTGTTTGAATAGAGAAAATTGTACAATATACAGTTGGAGCAGCTTTCATTGTCGCAAGAAGTCTCCTTTCCAAGGAGGTTGAAAAAAAGATTTGCTGACAAAGATGTGTATGTAGTCAGAGTGTGGGACTGATAAAGGAGGCTATGTGGCGCTTTATCCTGGTATCGGGTGGATGTGAATAATTTGGCAAAGTTCTCACACTAGCACAGCAAAAAAGGCTAAGGTTGCTTATGCATGAAGAAGTACACAAGAATGTCACAGATAACACATTATTCCCAGTGGCTTTGGATAGAGTGGTAGGGGTGGAGGGAAGTTTCAACTATGTGAATATACTGTTTGTTGCCTCTTACAACTGCAGTAGAACTAAGACTTGTGAATCAATTAATGTAATCTAGTGAATAAGTCCAATAATCAGTGACTGCAGAAATGTTTTTGATTCTAAGTATAGTGAATGTCACAAGCTGGAGGAAACTATGGTCCTTCAATCGGAGCATATACAGCCTTTCTCTGTCCCCTGATCATGAGAGAGGGGAACTAAGGGATCTACAACAGAAAGGACCAATATAAACTTCTCAACTTACTGGCATTGTATTCTCAATTGTCTGCTTTTGAATCAAGATTTTGAACTATGTGAAGAGAGGAAACAAGCTAACTTGTTGAAGAAAATCAATACATAGGACGTCACCAGTATCATAGTGTGTTCACTAATGCTTTGACATATATACAGTTTACTAAATTTCTCAAGCCAGGAAATATCGTCAGTACTGTAAGATTGATTAAAAAAATATGTAAGCAACTGATTTTAGATTCTTTGCAGAGATTTTATCGCATGTTATTGTAATCATTTTAACCTCTACAATAGAAAGTGATTTTAATGCTTCTATCCCATAGAACAATTTGAATGTAGGCCCTGTTTTGAATGAGATCTCACAGATGCTGACAACTTGTGTGGCTAATGTATGTACAAATTCTCCCAGAAAGGACCGAATTTTCTATATTGGCGTGGCCAAGTTCTCAAAAAGTATCTAGATTTTGAGAACATTTTATCACCTGAAGGGTTGTAGCTATAAACATTATTGTGTGTGATGTCTGGTGATTCCTGGTAGTCATAGTAGAAAGAGTATACCAAACTGTAATGTCATGGATTGTGTGTTGCACCATCAAGTAGGAACTGCTGCCATGTTTGTATGTGAGGACATCCAGATTCTGCTGTTTCCAATAAATGCTTTGTCCCTCCTGTAAGGCTGTCATTGGAGTATTCCTGCGTCTCTGTCACTCCATGGTTATACATTGTACAGTGGCATGGGTCTGTATACGTATGCTATGATTATAAGTATAACTGGTTGGTGTGTGAGCAAGAAATCATCTGAAACTTGTGCATATTTTCATTGCCAATTTAGGGCAGCATGTAGCAAATCTGACAGTTTACAGTAGTAATAAGGCACCTGGTGTTGAATTTGCCATGGATCCGCTCCGCAGCGGCCACAAAAATAACTGCAGTAGCGGGATGCAGTTTGAGACACCTGGTGTAAAAATCGCCATGGATCAAAAGTGCCCCGTGGCGGCCAAAAAAATCACTGCAGTGATAAGAGTTGCAGTTTGAAAAATCTCCATGGGTCAAAAGCGCCCCATGGTGACCGAAAAAATCACTGCGGTGATAGGAGTTGCAGTTTGAAACACCTGGTGTAAAAATCGCCATGGATCAAAAGCGCCCCGTGGCGGCCAAAAAAATCACTGCAGTGATAGGAGTTGCAGTTTGAAACACCTGGTGTAAAAAGCACCCCATGGCGGCCGAAAAAATCACTGCAGTAATAGTCCTGTAGGCACAGGGTACTCAATAACCCCCTTGTAAGCCATAACTTGTAACTTCGCAGTCTTCGCAATCCAGTCGTACCGTGGATTGCATTGCTTCTTTTCGGGGCTCTAGTCTAGGCTAAGACTACTGAAAGTGTGTCCCTGTCCTTGGTGCTGAACGTTGTGTGTAATATATGCACTCGGTAGGAGTTTCGTGCTGTTGGAGTCAACATTCCACCACGCGAAACTCATACAAGGCTAGGCGCCTACTCCTACTGGTTGCAGGCTAATAGTTACGGTGGGGGTGGGGTGGTTGCAGGCTAATAGTTACGGTGGGGGTGGTGTGACAGAGAGCTAACGCCCCGAGAGAGAAGGCTACACCACCGCGATAGACTGGCTACAAGCAAGGAGGTTCAACCTCCATGTGATAACAAGCTGCATAGACCTAAAGCCTGGTTGCCAGCCTGTAATTATATCCTCGCCTAAATCGATAAAAATTTACCAACAAAATGAAGAGAAGGATCTGCAGTTTTCATGCATTTCATGGTCCGGCTGGGCCTAGAATAGATGAGGTTACTGATTGAAACTGTACTAGCGGCGTATTGTTGAAGCGGTCGAACGTCACACAACACCGTGTAAGAAAGTCGCCTCTGAAGAGAGGAGAACATTTTAATGTTTTGATAGACTATTACTAATAGTCCACAATAGACCGACGATAAAAAAAAAACATGTTCGTGACATAAGACTGTCAGAAAACGGACTAAATCAGAGGAAGGTCACAATCTTCCAACATCTGCTTGAAAAATGTAACCGGCAGGCCGGACCGGTTGCCTCGAACAACCGCCGCGCCCGAACGATGCAGCCCGGCCGCCGACGCCACTTATCCTATCCTCTTAGGTAGTACGCCTTCCCTAAAATGTAATTATTAAGAGTTTATATCATAAGAATATGTTATTAGTGTTTGAAATATGCTAATGTAGGCTTAATATCTGCTGTAATCCGCAGTATGAACAGTTATACTGTGCTATGATAGCCACTTCCGGTTGTCGCCTGCTCTCCGCGCGGTGCTGGAAAAATTCACGTTCTGCAAACGGCGACTCCGCGAAGGGACCGAAAAATCGGAATAAAACTTCAACGTACGACTTTTTTCTTCAGTATAATTTGTAGACAATAGAAAACGTATGACAGAACTGTTGAAAAGCTATTGAAAATACTAAGCATTTTCTAGAAAGATAAACATTTGTACATCAATCAAGTAAAGATCGTAACCCCCAAAGACACCCTAAATTCGGCCTCTCGCAAACCGGAAGTGCAAAAAGGGGCGTGTCCGTAATAGAAGAGATTTCAGCCCACTCCCGGATTTCGGCGATTTGGGAATTGCCGGAAGTCAAAGGCTCGTAAGGGGTTTTCAACTTTTTACAGAAAAATTCATATAATGACTTTGTCAAAGTGTTTATAGGCCGAAAACGTATCGTTTTATTTTCTTTAGGATTTGCGTGAAATATTCAGCCACAAAGTATCGAAATTAACGTGTTTTTTGAGGCTAGAAAAATATTTTAATCCAGGACTGATTTTAATTTATGTACTGCTTATGTTTAATCCTGTTTGTCAAAAACATATATCGACACAAAGAATCACTCATTTTACACATTATACTGCAGTGTTTTCGTAATTTAACCTTTTTAAAATGTTTTGTACGTATTTCCCAACCTCAGCCTAACCCATAATTCCCCTTGTTTCAGACTTTGACAGAATTTATTTCCCCATTAGCACTATCTTGAAGAATAATAACATTGTTTATGTTTATAACTTACCCTCAATATTGCTGCCTACATACATTTATTTATATATAGGCAGCAACAAATCTCTCCAATTCCTTTGGATATACATCCAGGCTGCTCTCTGGATATATGCTGTTCCACATGTGGTTGAAATTCTTCAGCTGTTTTGTCATTGTTCTCCACCACCCTAGTTTTCCTACTGGTATTCAGATATAGTAAGGTATGTATATTGTGCTTTTCTGGTTTTGTCACTAGTGTCCTTTCATTTCTACCTCCTGAGGATAATGGTCTCAATACACTCTTGTTTGCATTTGTTGCCCTCACTTGATATACTGGTAGTATTAGGCCAGAAGATATGGAGAATTCTTCGTAAACTTTTATTGTGAAAAGTTGACAATTTCTGACATCTTTCTGAAATCATTGACATTCTGAGCCATGAAGAAGAATTTGTTCAACACAAGTTCTGCTTTTCTAGAATCTACATGTTGTTCATTATGTTTAACCAAGGTTTAACCTCCTTGGTTTAACACACTTCCTGCTTTACTTACATTGTTTATCAATGCCTTTATCGGCATCTCTTCTTTATTATGCAGTACCATTATAGTGAAGTACAAATTGAAATACAACGAGACATATCGTGAAATACAAAATTTTATTTTCCAAAAAAAATGTTAGACCAAATTGGCAACATGACTTGTTAATATCTCCAAACATCCACCAATAAGGCTCCGTACCTCCTTGGCAAACAACTGGTAAAAAACTTAAAAGGTTCCCAAAATGATGCAACTGTATGCACACAAACATCAAGATATAATTTATAGAACAAGATAGACTCTTCTATAGATAGATTAACTAAAACTGTTCCATACAAACTAGCTATCTATAAAAATGCAAACCTTCACAAAGGAATACAGGGAAGCGATTAACACGTAGGACAACTCTTTTTGTGTCTGGATGGCAAGTTACGTCACCCAACGTTTTACTCATATTTCACATTTGTACACATCTGTAGTGTTTGAAGCTGACAATCAACCATATATAATGTAGTTAGGTAAAGAAGGTATAGCATAAGCAAATGTTGACTTCAGACTTTTCAACTTCAAAAAATTAACAAGATTTTAACTTCCGAACTCATCGTACTGCACAGATCTAGCCCAGTGGATAAGCATGAGTTCTGTTCTTAACTGTCTCTATAATATACCATGATGGATGTAGAAGACTTCAGAAACTGTCTCTCCAACAAATAATAATAGAAATATAACTTTCAAGGCCTGAGACCTAATGTTCACTGGCCCTTGTGGTCCCTACTGTTGGGACTGTGGTGAATCCATGTCTCGGAGGTGAGGGTTGTTGACCACCTTCATACGGATGGACTTCCTTGCAGTGCGCCGGCTTCTTCCCTGGATGGACACAAGATGGCTTGAGTCAATCTTGTCACTCAACTCACATCTAATAATGCAGCTTTGCTGGTCATTTACGATACAGACCAACCTTTGGTAACTTCAATAATCATATATATTTAGTCAGTCAGTCTAGAACAGACATTTTTTTATTACTGTGCAAAAGAAAAGTACAATTCAAACAAGGTTTTCAATGTTAAGAGTTATATAAACACTTTTATGGTACATAAGTAGGTGGTTTTTGAAGTCAATGATACCAGGCCAGCTTTGAGGCAATAAACATCCTTACTTAGACACAACTGACTATATTTAAGAACCTCAAATGCAAGAATTTAATTCTTTTGTACATGATCCTGAACAACTATTCAAAAATCTTTAATGAGATGAGATTTCATTGGGATCTGCTGATAATTACTTTACAAAGAAAAGGGCATTACTGAAGTGTATATGATGTACATTAACCAACCTTTCCAGGAAATACAGGTGCATCCTTTCTTACAACAGAAGAATCCACGGCACCAGTGGACTCAGCTGAGGATGACAATGGCTGTGATGCAATTGGCTGCTGCTCATCACCTGATACAAGATGACTGCTGATTGGCTGATTTGAATTTGAATGGACCTGCTTCTTATGTGGCACATTTTGTGGGTAAGACTTTCTGGCTTTTTGATACCTCTTGGGCTTTGTTGAAGACTCCTGAAGGTGAGCATCTTTGTGACATTTCTGTGTTAAACCTACAGTAGTCTTGTTGTCAGAACCTAGTGGATCTTGTCTTGATGGGCTTCCTAAGGACTTGTGTCCTTCTACCATACCATGTTCTTGGAAACTTGCTACTGAGGAATTTCCAGACACCAGAACACCCACAACATCCACCTGAGCCACCCCCTGACCAAAGGGTTTGTGGTGGCTGGGTTTAGACCCTGCTGCATCCCCGCCCTGTAGGGTGGTACTTGACACCGTGACCTGGTCCTGATGTGGGGAGGGGGGCTGGCAACTGGCAATGACTGGGTTCTTGTTGGGTGACCTCAGAGCCGTCAAAGTCATTTGGCAATGCCGATTATTCACGTTAGGAAGAGCAGGATTGGTGGGTCTGACTGGAAGGTTTTGAGCGGCACTGATGCTCCTCTGTCGGTTTCGACACATCACTGCATCCCCTTCATTAGAATCGATGGTGAGACTGGGACTGGAGAGGGACCTGAGTGGTTGCAGACTGACATGTTCTGGTGCAGAATCTGTGACCTGTTCAACAGCATCTGTGCTCATGGGATTGCTGATCACAGCAAACTCCCCTCTGTAGGACAACCAGGGTTCCAGGTCACCAATGTCTTCATCAGGCGTATGTTTATAAGGGTTATCCTTCTTCTCTCTACGTTTCTTGCTTTGTGCTGCAGGCTTGTCAGTTGAGATCTGGAGGCTGTCATCATTTCTGCCAGATTCAGCAGACTCTGTATCAGACGTAGTGCCAGTACCTTGTAGTACATCCTTGTAGTACATTGATGCATTGCATGCCTTCTTCCAGCCTCATAGAAGCAGTGTTCCTTTCAGAAGACTCTTGCTCTGGTGCAGGCATAGATATTTCTTCATTCTTTGACATGGTGGCAGATGTGGGTGAACCCTGGGCAGTAGCTGGATCATGGAATGCATCACCATTGGCATGCTGGGACATGTCAGCAACTTCCTGTGCATCTGGATTCTCCTGTACCTCCACTGGTTCAGATCCTACCAGCTTTCCCTGTTGTTCTACTGATCGTTTCTCCACAAAGTCTTCCTGCTGAGTGGTACCTGGGATCTGTTCTTCAGGACGGGTTGCCACATCACCAGCAGCAGATGGTACATTTTCACTTGTAACACAGAATACATGCTTTTCCTTCTCCATGTTTGGCTGAACTACAGATGAAAACCCTCCTGCAGGACAGCATTCCTCAGGCTCCCCCTGTACTACTGGTTTGTTGACTGGAGTTGACTGGTCAGCTGCAGGAACCTTGTAGACAGGTTGGTAGGACACAGTTGGGAGGTACTGATGCAGCAGCTGGACAAAGTAACTCTCCAGACGACAACCTGCCTGGCCAACTTCAGAATCCGGCTGGTGTAAAAACAGTGTGGAAAGATTTAATTGTGATACCATTATGAGGAAAACGCTCACACTTCAAGCATTTGACAAAATTTACATGTAATCAACCACTCTCCAAGCAGAGATTTCTGCTTTTTGAGATACTTTAGGCTTTCTTTTTTGTAGAGGTATCCTTTTTTGGTGGCTTGCTTCATACTGTCTCACCAATTGGATACTGTCTTATAGCCACAAAACATGATCTGCTTGGAGATAAGTTCTTTTACACAAATTAAATCAAACAGCAAACATATTATTATATACGAAAGTAAAGGTAAATGCAAGTACATAGACATAACGTTAAGTTTTAAATTAAAACCACATAGGGCATCCACATTAATAAAAATGTTGCGTCCACAGCTTCTGTCTAGTTTACCCCTGTCATAACATAACATAAAGGAAAAGTGTTACTCACTTTGTTGTACAGATGGCAGTTTCTGAAGACTTTCTTCATGTCAGCCAGGAACTGGTCAGGCATGATGATGTAGTACAGCTCTCGCAGCCTCTTCTTGATACAGTCTAGATCCATGGGATCTTTGACAATGTCATAGTAGTCAGGCACCTGTCAGAGGAGTGTTAGAAAGATGAGGAATTGAATGTGCAGTTTAGTAAACAATACCAGTAATGTTATCCCTAAAATGGAGTGGAAGGAAACTTTTCTCATCATCAAAATATTTTAATTTCTGATTCTCATGGTACTTAATGTTTTTGCTGTAACTTTTGTATCATGAGCTTATCATCAACAAATAATTTGTCTTTCCAATGTCCATTTCCCTCCAACCATGAAATTTTACCACTGTGAAGATGAAGTGAATTAATATAATATTTCAGCACCAAGGACAGGACAAACATGTCATATACCGATAAAGCACTTTCAGGACCAAGGACATGTTAAGTTACTTCCTGGGAAGAAAGCACTTTTCATCCAAATCTACATGTACCAATTTGATACCTTCTTGCTAGCAAAGGACTGTCCATTCAGCACCAAGGGCAAAACAAAGGACTTGCATCTTTCGCTTTTTCAATTGAACACTTAGTACTGGACATACAAAACTGAGGAGAAGGAAATTGAAAAACAATTTCACTCTCCATAATAGTCTGTTTGTGATTTTGACATGTGTAGAAACCTTTGCAGGTGCACTGACCTCCTTGACTTTAACAGGCAGCTGGAACAGTTTGCCATCTGGGTGGTCGAAAACAGCTCGTACCATGGCCTCACATTCCTGCATGGGATTCGGAAAGGTTAGTGGTGAGAACATAACCTGTTACTGACTAGTGATGCATGTGTACTAGCTGTATTTTCATCATTTGATGGAATTTTGCTGCTCATGACAGAAAAAAACTTTTCCCAATCCGTCATCTTTGACAGACAAAAATTGGCATGCAAAGATATGGAAAGAGTCATTAAACTAAGCTTAGTCTACCAGCCAAAGTTGCCCCTCCAAATGCAGGAAAAAGCAATTCAGAGGGTCAACAAAATAGTTATGGCTTGTCTTACTTTAAGAGACCACTCTTCAGATATCTTTAACAAATTTAGAGGGAGTCAGTAACAGTCAGAAATAGGAAGAGCACAGTTGTGAAGAACATACTTCAGGAACTGCAAAATAAAATCAAAGACAAGACAAGGGAAACATTTCTTTCCTCCATGAGAATTAAAACTGAAAGAGAACTTGACAATCCTCTGACGAGGATATCATAATTTGTACTTCTAAAACCTACAGACATTGGCATTGTGTACCAAAATGCCTACAGCTTCAAATCTTTATCTCTCACCTCAAAATAGTCAGGAGCCCGTCTCTGTTTGAGAGAAGCTGGGGTCTGAGGTGTCCGTCCTGCAGCTCTCCTGGAGGGGCTGGGGTCTGACTGTCGTCTTCTACATGGAAAAGGCAATCAGAGATAGTGAAGTTCACTTCCTCAATGGAAAGCAAAGCACACAAAACAATACTGCAAACTGCAGTTGTCAAGTATTCAGACAGGTATAGGTGTATTCTATATTTGTGTTGATAGCAAATATTTCCATTTTCCATTTTAACCTTCAAGAATTGTGGATTTTTGTAATCTGTGTAAATATTTCATGATAGGATAGTCTGAAAAGGTGAATTTTCTGTTGATAGCTTCAAAACATGCTCTAACAACTACACTTACCGTCTTTTACTAGACGAGGGCTTGTCTGGAGTACTCTTGGGAGTTTTTGGAGTGCTCTTGATGTTCTTGTCCACATCCTTGTCCACATCCAACTCTACATTGTTGGGCCCTCTTGGAGTGTTCTTGATGTTCTTGTCCATATCCTTGTCCACGTCCAACTCTACATCGATGGGCCAAGACACCAGTGCATCCACGAGGTTGGTTACTGCTGTAACAGCATACCTGGCATCTTCCTTGGACACACAGGACCCACCTGAACGGCTGACTACAGCAGGTATGTCTGAGGACTGTTGAGCCTTTGGGAAGGACCACCTTACCTTCAGGGGTGTCTTCAACTTGTCAGACTGTCTGTTATTCCTCCCTTTCTTCAAAGATGATGGCTTGCTCATTTCAGGTGTGATAACGGTAGGGTTATGCCATTCCTCAGTCAGAGAGGGTGTCTTCTTTGTCCTACCATCTTTAGGAGTACTGTTGGCAAGGTTTTGCAATGCCTCTCTACACTCTACTGGCAGAGAGGGAGTCGTCTCTTTCCCACTAGTGTTCATGGTTGCATTTTCCTTGGCAGATGTGGGTTTGCTCTTCTCTGGTGAACCAAGGTTTTGCCAGGCTTCCCGACACTGATCTGACAGTGCTTGTGCTCCTTTCACTTGTTTGGGAGGAACAGAGTAATCCTGGTCTGCTTTCCTCTTCTTTGGGGTGCTTCTATTCTTTCTAGCATTGCTGTTTGATTGTGGAGGATCTTTTGCTTTGCTCTCACTTGGCCTTGACTTTTTTGTCTTGGGAGAATCTTGCATGTTCGCTCTGACCAACAATCTCTCGTGCATCCGACTGTGGAACCCTCCACTCTTTCCACTTGACATGGCAGGGTTTGGGGCGTCCATCTTGGACATTTTGGAGTTGGAAGTATCTAAGAGAATAGTCTTCCTTTTGCCCCAGCCCTTCTGTTGAGCAGGAGATTTTCTGGGGGACCCGAGGTGTGCTAACAACTCAGGAGTCTGCGTTCCCCTTTCAACTGCTGCAAAATGGGGGCAAGAAAAAGAGTTAAAGAAGTTTAGAAAACATTAATTTTACAAAGTATATGATTGTTGACATTTTGGGAAAAAACAGATGTTTCCACACTTTCTTGACTTTCTTATCTTTGGATCAACAATTTCTAACTTATTTACACCATTGATTGCAGGAGCTATAAAATAGTAAGTACAAGTATTTCAAATATACAGAAAATGTGCATCTTGACAATGCAATATACAGTCAAAACTGTCCAAGAAGACACTCAGGGATCAATAAAATTTGGGCTATGCAGACAGATGGTAACTATAGACAGGATTCGTAATGCTTGTGTCAATGGAAAAAAACATCTCAGGGACCAACAAAAAGCACATGGTCTTTGTGTACAGGTGGTCATTTGCACAGGTTTGTATACATTTAACAGATTTAAAATGAAAGAATCTTATGTTCAACAGTTGGAAAACAGCTGTTTTTCATATGCACATGTAGCTGACTCCATACCTTTCTTCCCTTGCCGTGGGTGTCTGGACATGCTGTATGTATGTTGTACAGCATTACTCCATGGTCCACAGCCACCAGCATTACTGGCCCTCACCCGGAATACATACACAACTCCTGATGGAAAAGTACATGCAAAAAATCTTATAGCAAACTGTTTTTTTTTTCATTGCAAAACACTAGCTTTTTATAAAGAAACATGAGACAATGTTGAAACTATAGTATAAATGTGTCTAACCACCTTTGTGCAATTTGAATTATCGATAGATTTATTTCATTTACTGAATGTATGAAATGTCTCGATATCGTATGAGCTTGTCACTTGCTGTCATCTGCACATTCCTTAAGCCACCTAGGAAACCCAGAACTTCTTTTAAATTGTTACTCAAAATGTCTTCTGATGTAATTCCATCTTTCTTATATAAGAATCGATATTAAGTTTCTACAAATGAGTCAATTAAAGTAACATACCAGATGTCTCAACCAGTAGTGAGTGCTGGAAGGCAGGTCCGATGTAGATCGTGCGGAAAGAACGATTGGGGACTGATGATGTCTGTTTGGTGGTCTCGGTTGTCTGTTCTTCAGGCCTGGAGTCTTGACTGTGTGGTCCAGTGTTTGAACCAGGAGGAGCAGTAACTGCAGGTGTGGATGGCTGTGGCTTATCAGTTGGAGTTTTATCACCACTCTGATTTGTACCATTGGAAAGAGTGGGCCTTGTCTGCTGTTCAGATCTAGGGTCTTCCTGACTTGCTACAGTAGTTGTTTGGAGGGCAACATAAGGAATGTTTGTTCCATCTCTGCCAAATGCCAGGTTCTGCTGTTCACCTGGTTCAACACTACTGTTGTCTCTACTTGGAACAGTGCTGGTTTGGATGGAGCCTTTGGGAACTGATGTTGCATGTCTTCCAGATGCAATCAGGAGTTGTTCAGTACAGCTGTTGTCTTTGCTTGCTGTATTCCCAGTGTGAATGTCCTGACTATCTGTGTGCCTGACCTTTTCCCTGCGTACCTCAGATACTCCGTGTTGCCCTCCAACTGTCTCTTTGGCATTATTGGGCATCAAAACATGAAAGGGATTGGATGATAAGCTAGGGTCACTTGTTATGCCCACTGTAGTACATGTTGTGCTGAGTGTTTCACTACATTTCCCACTGGTTGTGCTGGGATCACCACACTCCAGTCTGTAGCTGCTGTACCCATTGTCCTCTCCTGTGAACACAACCCTGACAGACTCCATTGGCTGTGGGACACTCCTTGGTGGACTCACTTGCTGATTTGTATTGGGCTGAGTCGTTTCCATCAAGACAACATCATCATCACATGTTCTAGTTGATGGATCATTCTTTGACTCATGTGACTTCCTGTTACAGCTACCATCTGTTGGCTCAGCATTGTTTGTGTCATGAGAAGTCTGTTCTACATGTGTGGTATCCTCTGTTATCTTCTTTGTTTCTTCAAGGGTGCCATTCATACAGGGACTGTTTCCTGAGCCAGCAATTTGCTCTTTGTAAAGAAAAGACACTGATGCAGTTGTTGTAGTTTGATTTGATGGTACACATGGCTGCACAGGACTGTCTGATGACCTAGATGAAGCCTCGTCAGAACTCAGGTGCAGCTGGAAGTGAGCAGGACAGATACTGATGGCTGACAAGTCACTACAGGTGCATGGTAAGGCTCCTTTCCTGTTTGGCATTTCCATCTCTGCAACGGCATCTTTGTCTCCGTCCTTCTCTCTCACCACAGTAACTCCACGCTCCTCTGCACCCCTGGCTCCAGATGTGTCCTTATTAACTGTACTTGAGTCTATCTTCCATACTTCCGGTGATTGTTTATCAACATGACTCTGCTGTTGTCTCTTCAACTTCAACACTAGAGTTGGTTCTTTGTTAGAAACTGTCTCCTTTTCTCTGCAGTCTGGTTGCCTGATGGCCACAGGTTCTGACTTCTCGGCAAGGCAAGCTTCAATGGTTTCTGCTATGACATCAGTCATTGTTTTCTCACAGGTATAATGTGCTGCAGTAATACCTTGATGAACAGGTGTAACTATGGTAGGTAGTGTGTTAACACGTCCGTGTGGTGTAGAGGGTGTTGGAGTTGCAGTGGCACCTTTTCCCAGTTGGGTGTTCAGTTCCTCTACCGTCTTACTGTCTTTATCAGTACCTTCTTTACTTGGTTCACCCAGACTACCCATGTTAGCTGTTTGTATTGTCTGCACTGTTACACCATCCTGTGATGTCTTGTTCGGATCCTCGACTGTTTGCTGGTTGGGAGTGCTCACCTCTGCTTGACTGGAGGTTGACACTGTTGCAGATTTGTGCCCTAAACAAAGTTGATTAAGGATTAATGACATTACTTTGTAAACATATTCGCTGACTAACATCATATCTTTGTATCCAAATGTACATTTTGTACTTGTAAGTATATATACAATACAACACGGGGTATTCCGTATCGGCCGAGGTATCGGCCCGACCGCAGGTCGGATCGCCCCATGGTCGCAGGCCGGAGGGCGATCCGACTCGCGGGAGGGCTGGGAACGAGGGCAATGCGGAATACACCGTGTTGTATTTTATTTATGTCATACCCACCCAAGAAAACACGCCTTTCAATGCAAGATGAGCCAAAAGTTGGTGCCCCTAAACCCTCAAATGCAACAACATTCAGATTCTGTATTCGAATTTTCGAAAGTGGTGCTCGCGGTTAGGGCGAAACGCGTATGAATTGTTCTATGGAAGCCATGGAGCCCGGGCTGTACCGTAAAGTACGGCCTGGTCCGGAACCCGTTATCAAACGTTATCGCGGCCCGGGTATGATATAAATGAAGGATATTGACCTTTCAAAAGATTGCCGTATCAAAGCAATGAATATGTTTTGTAAGAAAGTTAGAACCACTTGTTTTAGGTCAAGCTTCGAAACTTGTTATTTCTGTTGTATTGTTCTTTTTTTGTCTTCTGCTATCAAAGGAAAGTCACTAATTTAAACATACATGCCAATAATGGCAATATATGCTTAGTTGACTCACCTTGATTATGTATCCTGGACACCATGATGGGTAAGATGGCACACTGCAGCTCAAACTCACACCTGCCTGCACCTGCCGCACCACCTGATAGCCACCTCCACCTCAGGAGCACCTGTGGACCTTGTGTGTGCATCAGCAGCTGGGGGGCAGCTGGGGGCGGCTGAAGACTACAGCTGCCAAGGCTGTCCACCATCAGCAACATTTCTGTTCACAGTCATAAAAAAGTTAAACAAGAAATATCCGACTGTGGATGAAGCGCAAAGCTTTTTCATTAGCTAGTGGTGCAGTGCTGCTTTGCTACGACTCAGGTTTATAGCCAAGCATGTAAAGTGCAGATATTGAAAAAAAGAAACAAGAGCGAAAGAGTCCATACAAATTAACAAAACCTTTTACATGGGGATTGTATGACAATACAATCAACTTCTGTTACAAAATTACAACAATGTCCATCACCTCAGCTGTCAGTGTCACCATAATGAAAATGAAAGGAAAACTAACCGTTTACAGGTCCTTGGTCCAGGTTGAAGGGAGGGAGTGTAGGGAAGGTGACCTGAGTAGGGACCAGCCTGTCTGCTGCTGCTGCCTTCTCCATCTCATCCTGAACCTTCTCCATCAACTCACCAAACTTCTGGTTACTTGGTCCCAACAACATGGTCTGGGACACTGAGAGGAGTCATGAAAATTTACAATTTCTTTATTTGTTTCATCAAAATTCAACAGAAGTAATACTTTAAACACCATTAAACCTGCCTGAGCGGCCTTCAAGTCAACCATAGTTTCCTGGTCCTGAATTTTTCCTCCATAGATGCAAGCATAAAGCAACCTGCCCAAAAAGGTCACCTGTCAAAGAAGACAACTTTACTTCAGTCTCTTGGGTAGCCTTCTTGGAGTGGTTTAACTGTACATGTTTGAATATCTTCGACAGGACTGTCAAATGACAAAGAAATCAAATAGGAAATATTGGATAGTTTCCACGTAATACTCAACAGTTTTATTTTGTGCTAAAAGGCTACCTCGATAGAGGGAAGGCTCTAGGCAGTTGAAACTGTTTACATTGCAGTGACTAAAAACAAATCTTGAATGCACAAATTTCATTTCACTTCCACCTACCCAGTTGCTGTGTCAACAAGCTAGCTTGCTGAGATGCCTCCACGGCACTCTGTAGCCGTCTAAGTTCCTGCTGTTGATGAGTGAACTCCCTGCTGGCCTGGATCATCAGAGATTCCTCCCGTTTCTTCAGCTTCGTCACCACTTCTGACAGAATGTGTCTCAGACACACCCTCACACTGCCTCTCAACTCTCGGATGTTCTGGTAAGAAAAACTCACAATTTTATAGGTGAAACATTGTAAGTGTATAAAAACACTAAACTTTAAAGCAATGGGATTAGTTATAGGGTTAGAGAAATCCTTCTTTGGTAGCTGTATGAAAATTTACCCCCCTGATCCTACCTGAAAAGGCTGTTGCTATTTGTACTTACTTGTACATGTGAAAACTTGAAGATTTCACAGATAAAGAACCAGTGCCATTTTTATAATGATAAGTTGGCACTAACTGTCATCAATGATCTAAGTAGCCCCTACCGTTTCTAGATGTTCCTGCGTGTTGCTGATCAGTTGTGTGGCGACCTTGGCTCGCTCTTCCCACGCCTTCAGCTGTTTGTAGCTTCCCCACAGCTCGTTGTGGATCCCTCCGTAGGACAGGACCCCTTCTGTAGCAGCACCTTCATCACAACACTTGGAGCACAGCAGCTTGTTCTGCACCTTACTGTACCAAACCTGTGGCAACCCTGATGGCACAGAAATTCACACCGCATTATTCATATCATCCTTCACAAAAGACAAGTTCAATGTGCTCAAAATTGTCATTGGTAAAGGTAAAGAAAACATAACCTAATGCAAAGTCATCTTCACAGTGGTACAGAACATGCCAACCTGAGTGCCTACCTAGATGTTTCTGACAGGTCTGTATAGTGTTCTGGCCATGACTTGGTTCTGCCATCAGTTGTACTGGCCATGGTCTGTATGGTACAATAGTGGATCTGCTTTGTACAGCCTTGCCCTCCATGCATTTAGTACAGAGGCCTGCCCTGCTGGCTATGTCTATCCACTGCACTAACATGCCTGTAGATAAGGAACATTTTAGTGCTTGTATGTATCATGAATTACTGTATGCAAGCTTTCTTAACTGTTGAATATTTCTCCATACAAAGTATCACACATCACTTTGGACATAAAGCCCTGTGTACATGTATCATAAAGAAGCTTCAGGCATAAGCCTGAAGCATCAAACCTCTACACCTAAAAGAACCCAATACACATGTTGAGAAGAGTAGGGGTGACTCAGTGTGGTTGGCAATAAACTTGTGCTGCAGCAAAGCTGCATTGCACTATAAGCTATTAAAAAGCATCATGCTCCACTTCAGTTGAGAATGATTGCTTTACCTTACATATGAAAAGTGCAAGATGAATATAGAGTTCAGACCTACAGAAATATATGTCTATCCCCTCAAATCCAACATATCAATCTCAAGCACTAATCTCTTCTATTGGAAACTTACCAGGATGCCTGCTACACACATGGGTCATCTGGGCAACTCCATGTGTCAGTGTGCTCACATGTGGTACACCGGTAGGAATGGGGAGTCTTGGCTCTACCACAAGGGATCCTTTAGGCTGGACTGTACGGTGCATCCTCGGCATCCTGGGACCTGGCTGTACTGCAGGCCTGGGACCTGGCTGTACTGCTGGCCTGGGACCTGGTTGTACTGCAGGCCTGGGACCTGGCTGTACTGCTGGTCTGGGACCTGGTTGTACTGCAGGCCTGGGACCTGGCTGTACTGCAGGCCTGGGACCTGGCTGTACTGCAGGGCTTGGACCAGGCTGTACTGCAGGCCTGGGACCTGGCTGTACTGCAGACAGCGGACCTAGCTGTACTGCAGGCCTCAAACCTGGCTGTACCGTAGGCCTCAAACCTGGCTGTACTGCAGGCCTGGGACCTGGCTGTACCGTAGGCCTCAAACCTGACTGTATTGCAGGCCTGGGACCTGGCTGTACTGCAGGCCTCGGACCTGGCTGTACTGCAGGCCTGGGACCTGGCTGTACTGCAGGCCTCAGACCTGGCTGTACTGCAGGCCTCGGACCTGGCTGTACTGCACCTGGCTGTACTGTAGGCATAGGACCTGGCTGTACTGCACCTGGCTGTACTGTAGGCATCGGACCTGGTTGTACTGCAGGCCTCAAACTTGGCTGTACTGCACCTGGCTGTACTGTAGGCATCGGACCTGGCTGTACTGCAGGCCTCAAACCTGGCTGTACTGCAGGCCTCAAACCTGGCTGTAGTGCAGGCCTCAAACCTGGCTGTACTGCAGACGCTACTGTCGGTCGAGCGTGCATTGTTGGACGGAATATTGCCACGTTGGGGACAGCATGCCTTGGCTGTATAATAGGGTACGATGCGAATCTTGCTTCTGTCACACAAGGAACTGTGAACCTATGTGGTTTTGCACTTCCCGGTTGTGGAGCAGTCAGAACTGCAAGTGATGGGTGCACAACTGGGTACACATTTGCAGCAGGTTGCACATCACTACCAGCTTGTGCTGTTTTGAGTGGCACTGTCTCATGATTGGGTTTGGGTGTGGTATATACTTGAGAAACTGGAACAATACATCTGGTTGAAACAGAGTCAGTCACTACTTGAAGTTGAACAAGTGGAGAAACTGAAACAGGACCTTGGTGGCTGGTAACTAAAGGTACAGTTGTGGTTGAACATGAACTTGAAATGTGGCATCTTTTTGAGGCTGCTGCACATGACAAGGACACCGAAGTTGCCACACCATCTTGTCTTTCTACTTGATGCTCCGACTTAAAGCAATCTTGACAGTAAGATCTTTGACACTGGGCACAGTACTGCACATATCGCTCCAGCTGGCAGAGGGCGCAGTGGGACTTCTCAGGAATACAAGGCCCATGTCCTGATGGCTTGTCGCTCATTCCTCCACACCTTTGATGTCAAAAATCATATCAAGAAGAAGAAAAAATTGTCACTCTCTTACACTTACAGTCTCTATAAAATATATCCAAACAGATGTTGGTTGGAAGAGAAAATCCCAGTACTATTTTGACCTCACAGTGTCCCAAAACTCCCAACCCAACATCCCCGCTTCTCACTCCTTCCTTGTTTGCATCATTTATGCGTTCGTGACATTTCCATATTACACCATGATTACACTAACAAGCTCGCATAACGTTAGATACATGTATAAACTGTTCTCTGTACGTATATCTTCAATTCTGAGCTGCATACCACTATCAGTCAGCACCTCAATTCATCCAAAGGGCTCTAGAGGCATGAATGTTTAAAAATCAAACCTCCTTGCTAGAAGCATGGCGGTAGAAAGTGTCAGTGAATGAATAAATAAACCATTAGTATATAAATTATGTATGATGCCAGCAAGACGCTTCGTACTTTGAAGTTGTCAAAAAGAAACATAAACACACTCTGAAACTATCTAGAACCACATAGTAAAGTTCACTACATACGCCGAGATGTAAAAATCAAGCCTTACCTTTTCATTAGTAGTTTCAGCGAGGAAACATCGGCACTTTTGGCCTAAAATAGAGGCACTTTAGAACTTTCCGTTCACAAATCCAACGACTTATTCCCCACGTTCTGATCGCATTCCAAGAAATAACCGCATCAAATCGACAAGTACGAGCACACATTTAAACTAAAGAACAATTCAGAAAATTGACAACTAAGTTCCCTACAACAATGTAGCATTAATAATATCAATTTTATCAATTAAAGAACTAGAATATTTCATTTGCTTTGAATATAGATCTAGAGGAAATGAATTGTCTTTTTTTGCGTTTGGTTGTTTAGAACCCCCGCTGGGACAGTTTGGGAGAATGTGCAGTGAAATGAGCAGAGCGTAAACACGAATCTTCAAGCAGATGTAAGTTCCGGTTTTTATGCGTGTCACGTTAGTCTTGAGGAATTTTGTTCGTCTTCCTGTGGTTGCCTGACTCTTTCATCATGGAAACAGCTGGACTACTGAGTTGAGGAACGCTTCACCCAAGCGCACAGCCACGGCGCCTTGCAGATATGTTCCACACTGCATATTTTTGTCCCGTAACCGATTCCATGATCAATCCGTATCTAACGGGGCTGGCGACAAAATCATAATTGAAGTAACATCTATTATATGTGTTGCATTTGTGTAAACGTACTGTAATCCATTTTTAAATCATATGACTTTAACGTTATCTGATCTGTTTATAATCCGTTCGGAAGGGACGCCACACGGAATGGTATCACCCAAACAAGGTTATGAACTGCCGATCATGGCTGGAGAAGTCGGAAGACGCAACCTCCTTGGAAGCTGTTGAAGTTTGTCTTGAGGTGTGTACATCACTGAACCATGTAGGTAAGACGTTCCAGATGTCTGAGACAACGATGGGAAGTAGAAGTGCAACTTTTTGCTGTTTTATGAAGCCGATTATGGTCAGATTACTTTCAAAACCATTTGGAGAGGGAGGGTACACTACAGGGGTGCATCGGTATGGATTACAGATGACCTAAGATAATTTTTTCCGTGGGAAATTTGTTATTTGCCATGCAGGGAGGCTCAGTAATATGATAATTTCTAAGTAAAATCTTCAAGGAAGAAAGATGATAGATTAGTCCAGTCCACATTAATCATTTTAATGGAAAGCAAAAATGCAAGGCAAATCCACTTTTTACAACTTTTTACAATTATGTGAATTGAATTTATTGTACTCTATATGTGTATGGCAGATATAACTACCTTTCAATATAACACACCAGTGCTGCAGTGTGACAAAGCTTCATTTTATTCATTTCAAAATCTTACCCATATGAATGCTACCACCATAAGTCAATTAAGTTTTCACCATAAACTGATAAAGAAGTGAACAACAGTATAAAAAAAATAAAGTGAAGAGTCTGAAAACTATAACAAATTTCACCAAATGCGATAATCATTGCTTTATATTAATTTGGTCATTACTATTAGGTGAAAACTGTTGCAACTGTTTACAGACAGGCACGTGAATGAACCCCAGCACCATTCTCACCATGGAAAATAATCAATGTTTACAATCTCGCAGGGAATTCAGTCATGTTTACCTTTACAAGACTGTTCCAGATTAGAATTCCAATCAGTTAGGACTGTTTCAACACAAGTCCATCCTCTGCACACACAAAATAAATAGGATGGAATGGCTTTCCTTTCAATTGGATTGCAAGGATTGGAAATTGGACATACTTTTGAATATGTACAAGATACAGCGTAAGATACTGTATACATTTCAGTATTGCTGTACTACTTAAAAGTTTTTTTATCAAAATCAGAAGATGTATTTTCTTTCTCAATATCTCTCCAATCTCGCAAACAAATGCAACCATAAGTCAGCTAAGTAGCACTCGGCAAGGGTTGTTTTCACGGTGAACAATAGTATGTAAAACACTGACTTGTAGATCTGCAAATAAAGAATAGGATTAGAGGACTGATTACTATTACTCGGCTTAGCATTGTCATTCTTTCTTATTTCTTAATTGTTGCGTAAAGGGGTTTCTTTGTTCTCCAAGAAAATTGGGAGCAAGGAGTTATTGTTCTCGTTCATGACTGAAATTTCCTTTTGTAAATGAGCCCAGTTGGGAGTAGACTGAGAATGTGTTTATTTGCTGTGATTGTTTTCCATTCATGCTTAACAAATAAACTATATGGTGCTGGACAGATGCTGAGAACTTGTGCAAATGTTTGCGGAGCAGCCACAGAAAGGATGCTGGTACTGAGAGCAACAGGGAGTAGTCTGCAATCAAGGACACTATAGCAAGACATCACCATTCTGAAGACTTTGGAGACAATCCAAAGTAGGTTTTCTTCATTATTACACCTATCCGGTAGCCTCTTTCACAGACTTCTTGGAGCATTGCCGTTTATTTTTTGGAGGAGGGATATGTGATTTTTTACATTGGCTACGGTTTTCTAAGCGTCGGAGGGAGTGTTTCTGTAGAGCGGGTAATACAACTCTCTTTGCAGATACAGCTCTATCCCCAAACAACCCCCCACCCCCTAAAAAGAAAATGCTGCTGCAGTCAAACCAAGGAGCTTCAACGTCCTCGGGCCAAATAAAAGTCACCTAGCTAAAAGCCTGTGCAGGAGGCTATTGATGCAAGTTACACGTGCATGTCTGTTTTTCCAAGTTCAGGACATAACGAAAATGGCGTTTGTACAGTCTTGCCGTTTCTTTATTTACTGAGCTAGATAGATGATGGGGCACATATTCTTGCTATAGATTTGCATCTGTATCTCGATCCTTTTTAAAATTATCCCGTAATTTCATGGTTTAACAAGAAATTGTGCTGAGAGTTGCATGGCATGCAGCTGGAGCTTTACATACCAGTTGATAAACACAAAACAATTAGAGGACCAGAAACAATAGCATGATTATCACAGCTGGTTTCAAGCTGTCAACAGATCTTTAACCAGAGATTCCCACAGTCAAGGTTATGTGGGACCTGGTACTTCTCTCGATGACCATGAACTCTGCAAAGTGTAACTTTGAGACAGCAAACCAGTGGTGTTGGGAACCAGTTTTTTTTTTAACACATTGATATACTGTGCAGTTGAGTGAGTAACTGAGCAAATTTATAGCTGAAGATTTTAATTCAATCAGTTCACATACATCTCAGCATGCTTGAAGTTCAACTGACTTTCCTCTCAGCATGGTGCATGTGTATTCC